ACTTTAAGTGGCATTTCTCCCATTTCAACCTGTAATGCTGCTGTTGAAGAAGTTCTAAAAGCGCCAGTACATATTCTTAAAGCCTGATGTTGAATCTCCAGAACCTGACAGTGACTCCAGCCCTAAGAGAAAAAACAAAGAAAGCAGAAGAGGATCCTCGGCGCCCTCTGGTGGGCAAGCCTGAGGATCCCAACACTAATGACACCTCAGTTAGCAGTTTTACTTCAAATGTCAACTTGAAAAGTTATTGATTGTATATTCTGTCTAAAAGTAAGAAGGGTTTGAGAGTAAAACAAAGTAAAACAGAAAAAACATTCAGCATTGGATTATAAAATAATGTAATTTTCAATTTAAGAGAAGGTTTATTTGTTGTTGTGATGATGTTTCAGAATCAAGGTGTTGGTGCTCTAGGTTAGATACATAAAGGGGGACTGAGGACCTCTGGTGGTTATAAGGCAAAATGCATGAGAAAGAGAAACGATAGTTTAAACACGTAGTTGTGAGCAGTTAGGGCAACTTTCTTTGTACTTTAGATTTTATGGTTCTAACTTTGGTTCTAACTTTCTTAATTCTGATTATCAAAACCCTAACCCTTTCTACTTGCAGCAATATTTCTTCTGTCAGCTACAAGAGTTCAATAACTTCAATCAGCTAAACTTGCACAAAGTATTAGATTATTGGAATGGTACGTGTAAAAACCAACCATCATGTAGGCTAAAATTCATGTTTTTAGTTTTTAGTTTTCCTTTTATTATTCTGAGAGGTAAAAAAAGTTTGATAAGCTGATAAATTGTTTCCTCTGTTTCCTAATTCTGTGTTTGCTGAAGGACACCACGGTTTATCCTCTCCTGACTTCTGTCCTCCATGATCCCAGTGAGTGGGAGAAACCCCACAGCTTTCATCCTGCTCATTTTCTGGACAAAGAAGGAAAATTTGTCAAGCGTGATGCCTTCATGCCATTTTCTGCAGGTATGTGTTTGTTCAGGTATTNGTAGAGCTAACAGAACTGGCAGCGTTGCGAGGCAAGGGCTCAAACATGTACGGCTGGAAGCCTTCTACACCAAACCAAGCTTCTGCCGCCCTGGCGTCCTCTTCCACAACATCTTCCTCCCTGCTTTCCTTCTCTAAATCAAAAATGGATGACGGAGGAGACTCATCCACGACCTCCGACACTAAACTCTCCTCCTCTTACATGTTTCTGCTGTCCATAATGATCTTTGCAATGGTCATTTCTAAGTAACAAGTTTAGTGCTTTTTGGTCCCAATGGAATTTCCCATTGGGAACCTACTAGAACTAAGTTGCTAACAAGAAGCAAGATGCTTCAGACAAACCGGCCACAACCAAAAAGCTTGTGAACCTTCTGCCACAACAATCCTGCCCTCTTGATAAACGACCAATCACACACACATTGTCTTTGAAGTTGGAAAAAACAAATCTAAAGTTATTCTGCTTTTATTAAGGTCACATAAAACTATGCCATTACATCATTTTATCACCTAATTATTTATCTTGAACACAATTTGTGCATAATTAAATAAAAAAGGAAATGATTAAAAACAGTAAAAATAACCATAAAAGATTGACTGATTATTGTATGAACCCTAACTGATAATGTATTTAAAAAAGGATGGACTAACTCTGGGTTGCTCAGTGGAGGAGTGGTTGGCACTGCTGCCTTGCAGCAAGAAAGTCTAGGTTCAAATCCCAGTGCAAGGTGCACCTGTCCAGGGGGGACCCCGCCTCTCGCCAGTAGACAGTTGGAGACTGTTAGGTTTATTGGCTCCTTTAAATTCTCCTTAGGTGTGAGTGTATGCATGAATGGTTGTTTGTTCTCTTTGTCTCTGTGTTGCCCTGGGATGGACTGACGACCTGTCCAGGGTGGACCTCGCTTCTAAAGTGAGAAGAGTAGTAAAAACTGCAGAGATGATCATCGGGGATCCTCTTCTCTCCATTAAAGACATTTCATCGCAGCACTGCATGTCCATAACATCATCAATGACCCCTCACTCCCCCACCATGGACTGTTCTCCCTGCTGCCCTCTGGGAAAAGACTTCGAAGACCCCTTCCTACAATACACAGTGATGGCATTTGGAATGCAAAATGCACCAGCTACCTTTCAGCGACTGATGAACACTGTATTAGGAGACGTTAAGAACTGTAATGTCTATTTGGATGACATCATAATTTATTCATCATCCTGGAAAGATCATATTAACACTTTGAAGACTGTGTTTGCCCGTCTAGCTCAAGCCTCCCTCACCTTGAATCTGGCAAAATGTGAGTTTGCCAAAGCGGTGGTGACCTACCAGGGAAAGGAAGTAGGCCATGGCCAAGTTCGTCCGGTGAATGCAAAGGTGGACGCTATCCTACGCTACCCTGTGCCCACCACAAGACGTGAGCTTCGGCGGTTCTTGGGTTTGGTTGGTTATTATAGATGTTTCTGCAGGAACTTCTCAATGGTGGTGGCTCCTCTGACAAAGTTTTGTAGTCCAAAGGAACNCTGTCCATAATGTTCTTTGCAATGGTCATTTCTAAGTAAAGAATTTAGTGCTTTTTGGTCCCAATAGAATTTCCCATTGGGAACCTACTACCACCAAGTTGCTAACCAGTTAGCAAGATGCTTTACACAAAGTGGCCACAACCAAACTTGCTTGTGAACCTTCCGCCACAACAATCCTGCCCTCTTGATAAACGACCAATCACATGTACTTGTCTTTGAAGTTGGAGAAAACAAATCTAAAGTTATTCTGCTTTTATTAAGGTCACATAAAACTATGCCATTACATCATTTTATCACCTAAATATTTATCTTGAACACAATTTGTGCATGATAATTAATTAAAAAGGAAATGATTAAAAACAGTAAAAAATAACCATAAATGATTGACTGATTATTGTATGAACCCTAACTGATAATGTATTTGAAAAAGGATGGTCTAACTCTGGGTTGCTCAGCGGAGGAGTGGTTGGCACTGCTGCCTTGCAGCAAGAAAGTCTAGGTTCAAATCCCAATGCATGGTGCACCTGTCCAGGATTGACCCCGCCTCTCGCCAGTAGACAGTTGGAGATAGGCACCAGACACCCCTTGAGACCCTGTTTGGGATAAGCGTTGCTGAAAATGGATAGATGGTCTAACTCCAATACTTTTGTTCTGCAGTAGCAAGTTTTGAAACAGCTTTATCAGTTATTGTTATCTTCAAACACTTCCTATATTGGTCAATTTTTTAACAAACCACATGGCACATTCAGGAAAGACAGTATACTGAGCTCTAATAAAGAGATCAAGGTAGTAAAACCTGAAATTGTGAAATATGCTGTATCTGTCCACCAGATGGCAGTAGAGCAAATAAAAACACATGAAGTAGATCATAAAGTCTCTAAGAAGATAACATTGTAACAATGAAGATGAGGAGGAGAATTCAGAAACTCACTAAATGAGTTAGATTGATTTGTCCCTGCAAATGAATTGAACTGGGGGCTGCTCAGTGGGGCAGTGGGTTGCATTGCTGCCTTGCAGGAAGAAGGTTCCGGGTTTGATTCCAGGCCCAGGGTCTTTGTGCATGGAGTTTGCATGTTCTGCCTGAGCATTTGTGGTTTCTCTCAGGGTCCAAAAACATGGCTGTTAGGTTAATTGGTTTCTCTAAATTCTCCTTAGGTGAGTGTGTGCATGAATGGTTGTTTGTTCTGTTTGTCTCTGTGTTGCCCTGTGATGGACTGACGATCTGTCCAGGGTGGACCTCGCTTCTAAAGTGAGAAGAATAGTAAGAACTGCAGAGAAGATCCTCTTCCCTCCATTAAAGACATTTCAGCCCAGCGCTGCATGTCCGTAACATCATCAATGACCCCTCACACCCCCACCATGGACTGTTCTCCCTGCTGCCCTCTGGGAAAAGACTTCGAAGCATTGGATGCAGGTCCAGCAGATTCCATGACAGTTTCTTCCCTACTGCCATTAGACTGCTGAATGTTGTGTAAATTTGGTTATTTTATTAAAAAAAAAAAAAAAAAACGTTAGAACTGTAAATATACAGTCATATGTTTATATTACTATTTTTGTATGTATTTATTACTGTTTTCAAGGCTGCACTTAAAAAAAAGGAAATTGTCTAGAGCTGTTTTAAACAAAATGTATTTTTGTTTACACTCATGTATACAAAATGACAAAACAAATCAGTCTAAATTCTTGCCTGACAGAGATAGGCACCAGCACCCCTCATGACCCCAGCAGGGATAAGCATGATGTAAAATGGATGGATGGATGAATTAAACTGAATTAAACAAGATTGTGGAAGAGTGAAAAGACACAAGCAACCTCAAAAAGACAAATGGGGGAAAAAAAGCATCACGTAACAACAATGTAAGATGACTGGTAGATGAAAGAGACGACCATACAGTGAACATCATAGTACATAGTAGTTTGATTTAATTTATACAAGATATATTTAAATACGTAGAACAGGAAAAAATGGGTTTAAAAATGTAGTATTATACTAAACTTGTTAATCAGACCCTTTTTATATCTGATTATAAAAAGGATTTGAACT